ACGACTCATAGACCGGCTTTTTAATCCCCTTGATCGTGCCTGTGCAGGAACGCTGAGCAGCTAGCTGGTGACGTCATTGACCATTAGCGATGCCTGTGCATGGGTAACTGGGGTAACGAAATTTGGGTGTGCCAGGGACCGGCTTTTTAATCCCCCGGGCAAGTTGATTCAAGAAAACCCAGGGTGCGTAGACCGGCTGTGGAAAAAGTTCGCAAAACCCAGGGTGCGTAGACCGGCTGTGGAAAAAGTTCGTTAAACCCAGGGTGCGTAGACCGGCTGTGGAAAAAAGTTCGTAAAACCGGGGGGTGCGTAGACCGGCTGTGGAAAAAAAGTTCGTAAAACCCAGGGTGCGTAGACTGGCTGTGTAAAAAAACAAAATAGCCGGTCTACGCCCCGGGTGCGTAGACCTGCTGTGGAAAAACAAAATAGCCCGGTCTACGCCCCATTTCCTACTACTAGTGGTGCCCACTGGTGACGCAAGCTTGCAATCAATATTGTCACGGCTTCACGGTGACCAATACTATAATCACAAAGACTTCACTGGCGCTCGCGTGCCCTCAACGAGGTACCAAGTAACAAGGCGGTTAATCCAAGAATGATAACCCCTTATAAATAATCTTACGTTAACACTGGTCTCTCAGGACAATCAAAAACAAAAGTTACTCAAATTGAATTTAAACAATTACGTTAATACACACGTGTCTCAACGACACTTAAATGGCAGCAATAACTCGTACATCAATTAATTACATCAACTTGAAAGTCAAGCATTCGGTGAGTAATTCCCAATTAATTACTGAATACAACAGCCTATTAATTCAGACGAGTATTGACAAAGCCTACTGTCTCTCAACTGACAGTTCATTTCCGGTCTTACGACAAGATTACCTTAACGAGGGTAGACTACTGTACCACACACAAGGTTACAACACTCCGTGTAAACAACAACATCAACACCTGGTCAATTCACTAAGTGGCGGTTACTAATTCTCTCTAATTAGCTACGAGTGCTTAATCACTCTGTCTGCAGACAGATCTGATCAGTCCAACGAATTACAACAGCTTAATTACAGTGCAATTGACTCCGATCATAACAGACCGTCAACCCCTTACGTTAATCAATCAATTAACGATAGCTCGTTAAATCGTTAACACTACGTTAGTCTTCACTTGACAATTCCTCCACTGCATGAACTTCACTGTGACTGTTGCCTTTACACGTCCCTACGTTAATCACAACAATGTTCAACGAAACAAGTGACATCCTTGCCACTTACGGCAAAACTTGTAAATGACTTCTCCAGTAAATTATCTACCAATAATTCACACTTTACCACAACACAACAGTAAAATAAGCGCTAGCCAATATAATAAGTGAATTATTTATAACCAAGGGAAACCTCCCTGTTACCATTTTCACTGCTGAAAAAAGGGAATCAAATTACAGCGAATTACATACACGGCACATAGAGCAAATGGAAACAAATAGAGAACACTCTGCTCCACCACTGAATGTGTCTCTATGTCCTCACACACGTCAACCTCACAGTTGGGCTCAACCTCAACTTGGTGACGGCAAACAGGGTAAACTGACAAGTCTCCAATTCCCATTCACCACACCAGGTGGTCACAGGGACAGAGGACCGACGTAACACTGGGTACGAAACCAGCTTCAGAATTTTACTACCCAAACGGAAACAGTGTACTTACATCAATCTCACGGGCTCGCCACACACACTCGCATACATACATGTCAACTTCACTGCCACTGCTGCTAGCTGCTGCTGCTGGATGATGACGTAGGCGTCCTCACTTCGTACACGTGGTCGGCTGGAGCACGGGGTCCTAGACCACGAGGTTAGCTCCACACACAGATACCAGGTGGCGCAGACACGCCGGCTTAAGGCAGCCAGGAGTGCGCGCACAACAGATCACTCACAGACACAGCTGGAATGTGGTATCACGCCCATCCACTTGACACGGTACCCTAGGATACGACGGTACACGGTGTTACACGGCACGACAGTACACGAGACAGAATCCTTCACTGTTCACTGCTAATTCCTCGGAATTATGAATTTAAGGTTTCTCTCATAACACTGAAACCTTCTCTAGCTCGTCTCACTGCGGTACCTTCAAGCTAAGATACGACAGACGGCGGATGTCACTAACACACTACGATAACAGCCTCACTTAGTCCAGTTGCTCTGAGATGGCATCTCCCAATCACGTGGCTTAGATGACAAAGTTCACACTGCTAAACCGCCGAATACGCCTTTTCGCGATACTGGATTCTTATGTACGGCACCCGGAAAGATAGCAACATGATGAGCGTGACTTTAGGAACGTTGCAGGTGGTATTTCCCGGTGCTTGGCCTTAGCACAAGAAAGTACATCCTTCTCTAGCAACGTTCTTCCTAAGAATAATTTTGCGCCAAGACGGTTCCGGGATACCATGCGGTACCCCTCAGCATCTTGACCAATCACGGTTCAGCATTCCTGAGGCCCAAGCGCCTTGGCCAATGGCGTACCTGCACCACGACGCTGCCCCCTCTCTCACGAGGTGGACACGTGATGGGGAGGGGGTGTAGTCTACAGCCGTTAACCCCCCATACCTCCCTCTCTACACTTGACATACAAAAATTTCCCTGAAATCAACTCCCTCCTGTAATTTCCTCCAGAGACCTGATACAGCGATCAGAATGACATCAATGGCTAGCAAAAGTCACGGACTGTCCAACGACACCCAACACGACTGTGGAAAAGTTATATTCAGAAAGTTGAATCATGGTGCACATTACTGGTGCACTATGCAATTTCGTACCTCATTCAGTGCACGAGAGAGCTGGAAAAATCTGTCTCCTGACATCAACCTCCCACTAAGCATTTATTTCACTGGAAGCGAAATACACCCCACCATTTTACCAGCTCGAGGGTGCACTGTGCACGAGCTGTCACACACTTGACGGCTCACTTCCTGCTGGATGACAGTGGGTGGAGACTCCGTTTTCTATACGTCGTCGCCCTGAGAGACTTGGGGTGACTCCTCCGGTTCGTCCTGGGTAGTATTATTTAACTTTGGCACAGAGTTGTGCTCGGCTCCAGGGCCAGGCTCAAGCCAGCTCGACGCCTCGAAGCTAGGCTGGACTCCAAGCTCTGCAGCTCCGGCTTCAGTCTGTGTCATACCGGACACACTAGCAACACTTTGGGATGGACTACCCGGAGAGGCACTATCTTCACTCTCCTCTGACCTTGATGACGCATCATGTCGTTCATAAGCTGTTAAGTGCAGACCGCTTACCTCACTGAGCACCGGGTCACTGACCTGCTCCTCTGGCGTGTGCGACCTGCTCAACCAATCAGCACCCACATTATCGGTCCCCTTGATGTACTCGACCCTGAACTTAAACTGCTGTAAGAATAAAGCCCACCGCATAATCCTAGGATTAGCGTTCTTCAATATACTCATATGGCTAAGAGGCTGATGGTCTACCTGGAAGGTGAACCGCCTTCCATACACATACTGATAGAACTTCTTAATGCCTACCACAGCTGCCAACAGTTCTCGCTCGACCGTCGAGTACCGACGCTCTACGTCACTCAACTTCCGGCTGTAGTAGGCGACCGGCCACACTAGGCCGTCATGCTCCTGCAGGAGTACAGCTCCCACTCCTGTGTTGGAAGCATCAGTTCTGAGGATGTATTCCTTATCATCGTCGGGTAGCCTCAAGATAAGCTGCTCGACCATCTTCTTTTTCAAGCAAGCAAAAGCAGCACCTTCCTCTCCCGTCCAGTTGACCTTAGTAGGGGCAGCCTTCTTTGTCAACTCTGTTAAGGGATAGGCTACAGAGGCGAAGTCTGGAATAAACTTCCTGTAGTAACCCACCAGACCAAGGAATGACCTCACCTGCGTCTTGGTGGTGGGTGGTACAGCATCCTGTATCTTCTGTATCTTATCAGGTAGAGGCTTGGAACAGCCTCCACCGATCACATGCCCAAGGTACCTGACCTTGGCGCATCCCACCTCACACTTGGTAGGTTTGGCGACCATGCCAACTCCTTGCAGCCACGAGAACACCTGTCACAGCAGTTGCAGATGCTCCTCCCAAGTGATAGAGTGGATAAGTACATCATCCACAAATATTTCCACCCCTTTGATGCCCCCCCAGGACCTTCCTCATAATCCTATTGAATACTGCTGGGGCATTCACCAGCCCAAAGGGAAGAACAGTGAATTGATACAGACCTTCACTAGTAATGAAAGCTGTGCATCTCTTGCTGTCTTGATGCAGTGGGATCTGCCAGAATCTCTTCGTCAGATCCAGCTTTGAGAATTAATTGTTTGGCGCCGGCCTAGTGAAAATCTCATCGTGGTTAAACATTAGTTCTGCATCAAACTTTTTGACCTAGTTCAATTTCCTGAAATCAAGACAAATCCTTACTCCCCCCCCCCCCTCAGGTTTCTTCACAATCACCATGGGGCTGGAGTAGGGGGGAAGTAGATTTTTCAATCACACCTTCTCTTTCCATCTCTTTCAGTTCTGCCCTGACCTGGGGAACTAAGTGATGGGGAACAGGATAAAGTTTGGTGCGTACAGCCTGTCTTTCCATTAGCGGAACTCGGTAGCCTTTCACATCAGCTACCTTGGTAACATCTGAGAGCACGCCACTGAACTCCTTAGTCAGCTGTCTGGCCTGCGTACTCTGCTCTGGGGTCAGTCGATCGCTAATCCTTACAGCTTTGTATGTTTCCTTCTGTTTGCGATTATACAATCGTGGCTGACCTACCTCGCTGTCATCACTGATGACTGACACCCCTGCAATAAATGCAGTGTGTACTGGGTGGGAAACTAGCCCTGTCCCCTCCCGATTTTGCTTTGAAGGTCTCTTACTTCCTTTACCCTGCTTCCTCTGTTCCTTGGGCTGGGTAGTGGCGACCTTGACTTGGCTACCAGCTGGAGCGGACCGCGTGGGTCCCTTTGAACTAGATCCCGTTTCTGTTAGCGGAATGGAGCAGGCTTCCCCCGTTTTCCTTGCGCCTGCTGCCTCTGTTCCTTAGCTGGGGAGGCAGCCATGGCTTGGCTACCAGCTGACTGGCGCGTGACGTCACCTCCAGCTGGTGTGGGTCCCGTTTTCTGTGAGTCACTTCCACAGGACCGACTCTTACTATTTGACACTCCAGGGGCGTTTCCCAACAACAACCCGTATACAGCGTCCTTGCATTTCACCGCTCGTATTTTACCTTTTACATATGGTGTGTCAACAATCAGGGATACCTCGATCAAGTCTTTATGGTTACCATCAGGGTATCTTACATGAATGGTTCTGCCTGTCTCGTTCCCAGGCTCGACAAGGCTCTCTCGGACCATATGAGTAGTAGCTCCCCTGTCTCGAAAGACCTTGGTCCATTTACCATTAACTAAACCTCTTGCTGTCTCCAGGGTGTGCTCCAGAGGATCACCTCCCTCGTGGGCACCCAGACCAGCAATTTGTGCGTGTGTTCCCCCCTTTTCTGCACGCTTGCTCTTCTTACACTGTGCTGCCTTGTGACCTGGCTGGCCGCAAGTAAAACAGCGGGGTCCACTGACCTTGTGTGGCTTATGGCTTACTCTAGACTTACTCTCTTTAGGCCTAGCCCCGCTCCCTGAGGCTTGGTCATGACGTCGGTTCTCAGATGAACCTCCCTGTCTAGGTCTGTGTGCCTCAGCCCACCTGTCGGCACATTCTGCCATAGCCTCATTAGAGACTATCTCATTTTCCTTGAGTTTAGCACGGAGCGCAGGTTCCACTGCCTCCAAGAACTGTTCTCTAGTCATCAGCTCAAACAACGTATTGTCTTCCGGAACGACGGCGTTGTTCAACTCAAAATAGTGCTTGAGGCTCGACTAAAGCCTCTGCAACATGGCCCGGTACGTCTCCCCTTGACGCACTCTAATCTGACGGAATGCCCTCATCATTCCATCGGCCGAAATGCCATAGCCTTTCATTAATGCTCGCTTCAGGGCATCATAATCGTTGCACATGGGAGTTCCCAAACCCTGGTATATACTTAATGCCCTTCCCTTCAACAATGAAGCTAGCGCTTGGGCCCAAGTTGACCTACTCCACTTCCCTTCCGTTGCTCTGCGTTCGAAGCGGTCAATGTATGCATCCATTGAATCCACTTGCTCATCGAAAGCTATAAGATTAGGCATTTTTATCTTAACAACTGGCCCCTCTGGGCCGGGCTCTGTGGGTTGGGTTTGGCTTCCCTTCCCAGCTGTGGATTGCACCCTTGCAATCTCCAACCGGTTCTCTCTCTCCTGATGGGTATTCCACATTTCCATCACAAACTTAGACATCCCAATTGGTGAGAGACCCATTAACCTAGCTTGTTCTCGCAGCATGTCTAAAGTGAATCCCGCCTGGGGTTGTACAGTCCCCATTCTGGCCGGCGATTCCTGCATCAACCTACCTGCTGATGCAACACTACCTTCCGCGAAGGTTTCTATTGGAATACTTTGGTGGGGGCGCGACCTCCCACTAAGATCCTGAGGCGTACTACTTCTACTACCTCCTACCACGTCTATTACACGAAAGTCGGCTAGGGGATTTTCCTCATCCTCTAAATCACTTCCCGGCGTTTCGTTCGCCGAAGCGTGACTAGCGTTATGCCTTTCAGGTGACGCTTCTCTCTCTGACGTGTCCCTAGTGTCACGGAGTGCTGGCAACTCCTGACCGACCCATGCCTGGCATATCCCCTCCACCCAGGCCCTGTGTCCCATCACGTACTGACGGCATTCCTCCTCCGTCTTACCACCCGCATCATCTGGCATCCTGCCATAGACAGACACATACAGATACACGTACTCTTTCCTGTAATCCACAGACATACTGACAGTGTGTGTTGGTGTGTGTACCTACTTGTGACAACTGCGACAACACACCCCCAACAATACTGTTCCACAATGTTCTGCAATTTGAGACTTTTTACTTTAATGATCAAAAGTCCGTGCATGGGCTCGAACCCAAGTGACACAGCCCCACGTTGGGCGCCAGAACTGTGAGATTTTTTTCTTTGACAGGTTATCAAAAGAATTAAGTCCTATTGATGTTACGTTAATCGTAACTACCTCGCAAGAGAGGCAGACCTTAAACAGCAAGAGCTGCCAGTGGCAGATATTTAATCTTAAAGCCTAAGATCATAGGACCGCGGGAGCAAACCGCCAGGCGAAACCACTCGGGTAACACCTGTCACTTAGGTCGCTGGCTCCTCCTAGTTTGACAACTAATAAAGGGTAGCCGACGGATTCTCACTTCTTATTTATAGAAGTGTGGTGCTGTGCAATGGACTCGAGCTTTAGATACAGACTTGATATGAACATAAGCAGGCAAAGCGTTGCAGAACATAAAATGTGGGGCAGTAATATTGGAAGGTTTGACGTAAACGACCGTTTTCTATAACAAAACAATTTATTCACAAAACAAGAACTAAAACTACTACACAGTGAATTTACGTTACTTTACTGTCACTCCAGTGGCACATTAAAGAACAGCTAATCAACAGCCTGATGGACCCACGGTATCCTTATCCCGTCGTCGCTGACTGACTAATGACACTAACTGAACACAGTGGTGCCCACTGGTGACGCAAGCTTGCAATCAATATTGTCACGGCTTCACGGTGACCAATACTATAATCACAAAGACTTGACTGGCGCTCGCTGCCCTCAACGAGGTACCAAGTAACAAGGCGGTTAATCCAAGAATGATAACCCCTTATAAAAATCTTACGTTAACACTTGTCTCTCAGGACAATCAAAAACAAAAGTTACTCTAATTGAATTTAAACAATTACGTTAATACACACGTGTCTCAACGACACTTAAATGGCAGCAATAACTCGTAAATCAATTAATTACATCAACTTGAAAGTCAAGCATTCGGTGAGTAATTCCCAATTAATTACTGAATACAACAGCCTATTAATTCAGACGAGTATTGACAAAGCCTACTGTCTCTCAACTGACAGTTCTCTTCCGGTCTTATGACAAGATTACCTTAACGAGGGTAGACTACTGTACCACACCCAAGGTTACAAGACTCTCCGTGTAAACAACAACATCAACACCTGGTGAATTCACTAAGTGGCGGTTACTAACTCTCTTTAATTAGCTACGAGTGCTTAATCACTCTGTCCGCAGACAGATCTGATCAGTCCAATGAATTACAACAGCTTAATTATGACTCCGATCATAACAGACCATCAACCCCTTACGTTAATCAATCAATTAACGACAGCTCGTTAAATCGTTAACACTACGTTAGTCTTCACTTGACAATTCCTCCACTGCGTGAACTTCACTGTGACTGTTGCCTTTACACGTCTCTACGTTAATCACAACAATGTTCAACGAACAAGTGACCTCGTTAAGTAAATCGTGACCCCCGGTGACGTTAACTGACTTTAATTCTCACGGAATCCTTCACAGTACACAACGCCTTCCACCAAGGACAACTTGTCTACGGTTTACACACGGTACAACACAGTACATCACAGTACAACACAGTACATCCTTGCCACTCACGGCAAAACTTGTAAATGACTTCCCCCAGTAAATTATCCACCAATAATTCACACTTTACCACAACACAACAGTAAAATTTATAACCAAGGGAAATCTCCCTGTTACCACTTTTCACTGCTGAAAAAGGGAATCAAATTACAGGAATACATACACGGCACATAGAAAAAATAGAAGCAAATAACTCACTTTACTCTACCTCTGAATGTGTCACTAGGTGTCTTCACACACGTCATAAATCACAGTTGGGCCCAACCTCAACTTGATGACGGCAACAGGGTAGACTCACACGTCTCCAATTCCCATTCACCTCACCAGGTGGTCCCAGGGACAAAGGACAGACGGAACACTGGGGGCGAACCCAGCTTCAGAGTTTTATTACCCAAACGGAAACAGTGTACTTACATCAAACATGCGGGCCCGCAACCTTCTCTTTCACTCATACACGTCAATCACACTCCCACTGCTGCTGCTGGATGATGACGTAGGCGTCCTCACTTCCTACACGTGGTCAGGTGGAGCACAGGGTCCTAGACCACGGGGTTAGCACCACACACACAGAGACCAGGATGGCGCAGACACACCGGCTCAGGCAGGCCAGGGTGCGCACAACAGCAGGGATGCGGTACCACGCCCCTTCCACTTGACACGGTACCCCAGGATACGACGGTACACGGTGTTACACGGTACACGAGACCCGAGACGGAGTCCTTCACTGTTCCTCAGAATTAGAACTTTAAGGTTTCTCTCATAACACTGAAACCTTTTCTAGCACGTCTCCCAGCAGTATCTTCAAGCACAGATACGATAGACGGCGGATGTCACTTTTGTAGCCCGATAATTAACGCCTCACTCAGTCCAGTTCCTCTAAGATGGCGTCCCACAATTACGCGGCTAGATGACAAGTTCACACGGTTCGATACAAGCCCCTTTCCGATTACCGGATTCTTACGCACGGCACACGGAAAGATAGCAAGATGTAGGCGTGACTTTAGTAACGTTGCAGGCGGTATTTCCCGATGCTTGGCCTAGCACGGGAAACGCGTCCTCCCCAAAGCAACGTCCTAGGTAAGAATGTCTTTTCCCGCCAACACTATGCCTGGGGTACCATGCGGTACCCCTCAGCGTCTTGGCCAATCACGGTTCAGCATTTCTGAGGCCCAGGAGCCTTAGCCAATGCCGGACCTGCCCCATGACGCTACCCTCTCTCACACGAGGTGGACACGTGATAGAGGGGGGGTGGTCTACGGCCGTTAACCTCCCATACCTCCCTCTCTACACTTGACTTGTACAAAATTTCCCTGAAATCAACTCCCTCCTGTAATTTCCTTCACAGACCTGATACAGCGATCAGAATGACATCAATGGCTAGCAAATGTCATGGGCTGTCCAACGACACCCAACACGACTGTGGAAAAGTTATATTCAGAAAGTTGAATCACGTGCACATCACTGGTGCACTATGCAATTTCGTACTTAATTCAGTGCACGAGAGAGCAGGGAAAATATGTCCCCTGACAGCTTGCCAACAGCCACTAGGATAGACTTTTTTGCCGCTTTCAAACCCTCAACACTAGGGTTGTCGACAATTTGTTGTGCTACCAAATCCATTTTTAGTGTGCTAAGATACAGCAGACTCCAACACAAATTTATAATTCTGCACCACCTTTCTCTTTTTAGGCTGAAAATTTGTTTTGAAAACTGATAAGGACAGTGCTTAGTTCACTTGACTGCCCTGTCAACTGGTAAATTTTTTTGCACTCGAGAACACACAAATTTCTTAAAACACTTTTCATAAAGATTAATAAAATGTACATAAATAAGTAATAAAGTACATATTCATATTATACCAATAATAAAAATATTCTAAATTTCTACACAAGTTAAAGTGAAAAAAAAAATATGATACACAATTTTTATGTCAGGTTAGACCTACAGGCTATCCACTTTTATTAGGCTTTCGATCAGGCTGCTCAATATGTGAGGTGCTCTCGGACAGGCTACCCAATTGTATCACGAGCCTGTGTCTTACTGATGTTATCAGCAGTGATACGTTTTTGTTGTCATAGAGAGCTAGTGAGAATTTGGTGGTGGTGGTCCTTACAATGTTGTCTAGGGAGTATGCGGAGTAAGGGAAACAGCCTAGTACACAAGTCACAAATTTATGCGTACAAGTCACACTGGATTACATTTAACAAGGCGTTTTCCTTACAACATAAGATCACTATGTATTATAAACTCAAGTGGCTCTG